AAAAATAAAAAAAATAAATAAATAAAATTTAAAAAAAAAAACTGCCCTCTATTTGATAGGGTCCACTATAGCGAAAGCCAACTATGCTTAAGCTGAACTTTAATATTTGCATACCTAACAATGGTCTTTTACAAAATATTTGAATTGACACCGACGGCTAGAATGTGTTGCCCGTGGGCAAATATGTGTATGTATGTGTGAGTGTGCACACGGCCCATGCATGTGTAGAAAAGGTATGAAAAATCTAAAGCGTTTGATTGGCATTGATTGTGGAAGGCCCCTGGGGCATTTCCTGGCCGCAATCAAGCTACTTCGGCAAATTATTAGCAACAATGATTGCAGGATTATTTTTTTGTTTTACACGGAAAGATACAGATATGAATGTACATAAATGTATACATTAACTTTTTGTTAAGTATAATTGTTCGTGTGCATGTGTCTATATTTGAGAGAGGAGATGAGCATATGCAAATAAAGCAAACTTTGAGCCGCATTTGTTGCATCGGGAAAGACGTCGGAGAATAATAATTAAAATACGCTATGCAAATTACATTCAAGGTCTCCAAGAAACAACAAGGATAAAGGCAACAAAGTTTCGCAATTATGCGCGGCAAAAAGTTGGAAGCAGGAATCACATGTTTTATAAGCTCTGAATAAAAGATTGTCTGTTTCGCTTTGATTGTCATCTGGGTTTACTGCGAAAGTGTCGGGATTATATGTTTTCATATGTTAATTGCTTTTAATAGAAAGTAAATCTTGAAATCCAAATACATATGTATATAAATAGAAAGCATAATTTTTATGAGACTGAAGGTTTTCACTTCAAGGAAATAATAGAAAGAAAGCAACATACAATAAAGAAGAATCAACTGTGACAACTGTGCCATATATGTATATATTATGAAGATGTTATATAGAATTATATTGGGGTTCAGAGACGCCTCATTCTGCCGGCTGCACACATGTGCCGGCAACAACAATGTATGAATTGTATTTGTAATATTCTAGTATATAGTTTTCATATGCAGCTTGTGTTTGCAAATTGTACCTTATGAGCATACAATGTTATAGATAGGCAATAATTATATATGCAAACGCATTCAATTTGATAAGTTCAACGAACGATTAATTGATTTGCATTTTGCCGGTGGAAGCGGTTTGTTCAAGTTCATTAACTTTAAAGGCATTACACAAATTTAAGTGTAACCAACTATGTATGTATATAGTATATATATAATATATCTGCACGTATGTATACCTGGTTGCTGTGCTATAAAAAAGAATAAAAATAAAAAAATAATTGAATCACACCATAAAAGAATACTCTACGTCTGTCGCATATATAAAAATCTTCTTGTATATAGATATGCAGAAAAAACTTGAAAGCAAGTCTGTTGGCTCAACATTTCATCGAATATAATATCAAATATACTTGATTTGCTGCGATAAATAATACACTCGATCTTTGGTGCTTTATCTTATTTACAGCCAATTACGTATTTCCAATTATTAGCTAAATCATATTATTATTATTACTTTCTAACCTTTTTAGCCTTTTAACCTTTCACTGAAAATCAGCATTGATTATCCAAAATTTGGGTTATATACAAAAGCAGCTCTGTATAAAAGAGACGGCTATGTATATAGCCTAAATGTTAAATTATCAAAGCTGATTTTTATTAAAATATAATAGAGCAAACTTTTCCTTCAAAGACGCGTCTCTATAAAGCTTTCTCATACTTTTGGCAAATATGTGAAAATCGTTTTGAAATGGTTAGCCAAAACATATTTCGCATTATTGCAAAGTTTCCCAACTCCAATAAAAAGTGACTTAAAAATCTATTTAAGCAATATTGCCTCATCAGTATATGTAAATAAAGAAACTGAAAGGAATAAGCATAGGCTCTATTACGAATGCTATAAATGACTTACGTAATAGAGTTGTTTCAGTTGTCTTGATGGCTACACAAATTCAAAGACAGAGAGAGTGAAACAGATACAGAAAGAGAGAAAGCCAGGAAGTGTTTAACTTATGCAGATTGAATATAACAAAAAGAACTTTTACACTAATTTATATATATCTATCTATCTGTATATTATATACCAAAGCTGATGTTATATATGTATATAAAATATATTGATAAGGGAAAGTTTTTGAAGAATGTATAGTCAGAGTATATAATTTATTTCCCTTAATGGGCGAACCTTAAGTCTAGCAGCAGTTGAAATATCAATGCATGGTTAAATGAATTGTTTATTTATGGAATTCGTTGACTTTAATTACTGACGAGTGTTTGTGGTCAAAGTATTCGCCATTTTTTATTCCATTCCTTCTTGGAATATGTAATATGCCCTAGCAAAGGTATATAAACAGCCAGTGGTAAGTTCTGGCTTCAATTGCTATTTGTCTGGCAATTCGGACACGCACTCTCGCTGGATTACGCAAGCCATCAACGTATTGTGATTTATAATAGTGTTACAGTGAAAACAATTCGTAAAGGATTCCCGTAAAGGACAATCGAAATAAATTGAACATTCTATCCCTTTTGCTCAAATCAAGTGCTTAAAAACTCAGTGCAATGGCGTCCGAAATGTCGTTGAAAAAGAACAAAAAGTTCTCTCGGGCTTATCCTGAAACGGATGGCGATGATATTGTTATTTCTGGCATGGCCGGCAAATTTCCCAACTCGAAAAATATATCGGAATACGAATACAATCTTTATAAYAAGGTTGGTAAATATCACGTGTTATATCAATAAGAAAAAGTGCGGAAGAAAAATTAATACTCTTTAATGAAGTTAACAAAAAAGTTATTCACACCACGCGACTTTGACAAGCTTAGTTAATATATAGCTTAATAAATATATTTATTACAAAATGCGAATTCGAGAAAGTTCTATGAGTCCAGCAAAAACAATAAATCATTAAGGAGAACCTTTAGTGAAAAACAAATTTATAAAGAAATCCACTAAATTAAAAAAGACTAAAAGACAAATTATTTTTAAAATTAATTTCTCAATCAGAAATTAAAATCTTCACATGAACTATTGGCTGATCTTGGAATAACCTTTAATTCTTTGCTGTCCTTAGATTGATATGGTCGATGATGATGAGCGGCGTTGGCGTCACTTTAATCCAGAGATTCCGAAGCGTTCTGGTAAAATTAGTGAACTCGAAAAATTCGATGCGACGTTCTTTGGAGTGCACTTTAAGCAGGCGCATACCATGGATCCGCAAACTCGCATCTTGATTGAGACGGCCTACGAGGCTGTGATTGATGCGGGTATCAATCCAAAAACTCTACGTGGCACTAAGACTGGCGTCTATGTAGGCTCCTGTATATCCGAGTCGGAGAAAACTTGGTTCTATGAGAAGGTTTCATCGGGTGGTTTCGGTATCACCGGCTGCAGTCGCGCCATGATGGCGAACCGTATTTCGTACTGCTTGGGATTGGAGGGTCCATCCTTTTTGCTCGACACGGCGTGCTCCAGTTCAATGTACGCTTTGGATAATGCGTTCAGTGCCCTTCGTAATGGTGAAATTGATGCCGCAATTATTGGTGGCTCGAATTTGTTGTTGCATCCCTTTGTAACTATTCAGTTTGCTCGGTAAGCATCTATTGGTGTTCAAAAATGTCAAAATAGAGACTAATTTTCAAATACATATCTTCTTCGCAGACTTGGTGTTTTGTCTCCTGACGGTTTCTGTCGCCCTTTCGACAAAGACGCAAGTGGATATACCCGTTCAGAGACAATTAACTGCATGTTTCTTCAACGGAAGCGAGATGCGAAGCGCGTCTACGCAAGTGTCATTTACTCAAAGACCAACTGTGATGGATATAAGCCAGAGGGCATTACCTATCCGTCGGGCAAAGTTCAACAGAAGTTGTTGGAAGAGTTCTACAAGGAAATCGACCTCACACCAAATGACTTGGGCTACTTGGAAGCGCACAGTACTGGAACTGTGGTGGGTGATCCAGAGGAGTGCAAGGCAATCGATAGTGTGCTCTGTAGCCAACGGAGCGAGCCACTTCTAGTTGGTTCCGTTAAATCTAATGTTGGACACTCGGAACCTGCCTCTGGCATCTGCTCCCTCGTTAAGGCCTGTTTCGCTTTCGAGACCGGTTTGATTGCACCCAATATCAACTTTACCGAAGTGAAGCCCTCAATTACGGCACTTGCGGAAGGACGTTTAATCGTGGTCAAGGACCCTACTCCGCTGCCCAAGCCATACATCGGAATCAATTCATTCGGCTTTGGTGGTGCTAACGCCCATGCCATCTTGAAAGCCTATCCAAAGCCAAAGGTTAACTTCGGCATACCGAACGATGATCTGCCACGACTTTTGACATGGGCCGGCCGAACGGAAGAGGCTGTAAATGTGATTTTCAATGCCATCGAAAAGAAACCGTTAGATGCCGAGTTTATTGCACTTTTGCAAAACATACAGGAGGAAGATGTGTCCGGCATGGTGTTCCGAGGCTACGGCGTATTTGCGAATAACGGCTTGGAACCCAGCAAGGCTCTGGTCAAGGATGTGCAGCATTACACTGGCCTTAAGCGACCCATTGTCTGGGTTTTTAGCGGCATGGGCTCTCAGTGGAACGAGATGGGCTCGTCGCTGATGATAATTCCACGCTTCCGACAGTCCATTGAGATCTGCCATAAGACTTTATTGTCCAAAGGACTTGATCTCATTGATATACTCACATCGAATGATCCAGCTGTTTATAAAAATATCCTGAACTCCTTTGTCGGCATCGCTGCCGTGCAAATTGGCCTTACTGATGTTTTACGTTCCCTGAACTTGGAGCCGGACTACATCATTGGTCATTCCGTTGGAGAACTGGGCTGTGCCTATGCAGATGGAGGTTTGACAGCGGAGCAAATGATTCTCGCTGCCTATTACCGTGGACGAGTCAGCGTGGACACTGACAAAATCAGAGGTGCCATGGCCGCTGTGGGCATCGGCTACAAGACGATCAAGAATATGTTGCCCGAAGCCATTGAAGTGGCATGCCACAATAGCTCCGACTCCTGCACAATCTCTGGGCCAATCGATGATGTTACTCGATTCGTGAGCGAACTGAAATCGAAAGACATCTTTGCCAAGGAAGTGCCCTGCTCAAACATAGCATACCACTCAAGGTATATTGCGGCCATGGGTCCGTCATTGCTCAAATACATGAAGGAAACAATTCCACATCCGAAGGCCAGAACCGAAAAGTGGCTGAGCACCAGTGTGCCGAAGAGTGACTGGGAGCAGCCCCAAAATCAGCAATGCTCAGCCGAATACCACACCAACAATCTGTTGAACAGTGTGCTCTTCGAAGAGACTTTCTCGCAGTTGCCCAATAATGCCTTGACCATTGAAATAGCTCCTCACGGCTTGCTAGGCGCCATTCTCAAGCGATCTATGCCGAACGGTGTTCACATTGCGCTGACAAATCGAGGAAACAAGAACAATGCGCTCTTCTTCATGACGGCGCTTGGCAAGTAAGTATTGTGACCTTCTATTGTGAATACATTTATATCATTTTTCTTTTCATTTCAGACTGTATCAGAACGGACTTATGGTACCAGTTGCCAATTTGTATCCCAAAATCGAGTTCCCCGTGTCACGGGGCACACCGTGCATCAGCTCCCTGATCCGCTGGGATCACAGTGAAGATTGGTTTGTGACCAAATATGAAAACATGAAGACCAAATCAAGTGGCGAACGCATGTTCGCCATCAACCTGGCCAGCGACAACGAGGAATTCATGAGCGGACATGTCATAGACGGCAAAATTCTTGTACCAGCGACCTGCTATTTGCAATACGTTTGGGAGACGTTCTCGCTTATGTACCATGGCCCCAGCTATATGGATGTGCCAGTCGAATTCGAGGAAGTTCAGTTCCTCAGGGCCACGAATATGTCACTCAATGGAGAGGTAGAGCTAAATGTTATGATTCACTATGGCACAGGTCACTTTGAGGTAAGTGAAATCTAAATCACTAAGAATGAGTAAGGTTATTCATATACATATATATTTATATACTCTCAGATTACTGAAGGTGGCGCTTTAGTGGTTACCGGTAAAATCAGAGAGATTGAAAATCCCCCCATACCAGATATCTATCACTTCGAAAAAGAGTCCAAGTTCCCGATGGTATCCAAAAAAGACTTTTACAAGGAACTTAAGCTGCGTGGATACCATTACAATGGAGCGTTCCGAGCTGTAAGAAGCGCTCGTTCTGATGGACAGTATGGCCAAGTGGAATGGAACTACAACTGGGTGACTTTCATGGATGCAATGTTGCAAATCCATATATTGGGCACTGACTCACGCTCCCTTCTGTTGCCAACGAAAATACGTAAGCTGCGTATCAATGGCGTCCATCATTTCGATTTGATGACCAAAATGGATCCCGAGAATCGTGTATTTGATGTGTATGTGGATCATAAATATGATCGCGTTGTAGCGGGAGGTATCGAGTTGATTGGACTTCATGCCAGTCCAGTGCAGAGGCGCAGACCACCAGGCATTCCCGTATTGGAGAAATACGAATTCGTGTCCTACTTGCCAGCTCCCCAAATGAGTCTGTCGAATGCAGCCCGCATTTGCGTGCAACTTGCCCTGGAGAACGTGCCCACGCTTAAGATGAAGCTCGTCGAAGTCGACACTGATGGTAGGGATACCGTGCTGGATAAGTTCACCGATGCTATCGAGGATCTGCCCGTCGTCACTGGAGAGTATATGTACTTGACAAATCGAAAGGTTGAGGAAATGCCCGGCGTACATGTAGAAAATGGAAAGTTGGCTAGCCTAACCAATTATCACTTCGTGGTGGGCGGTGGCATTTGCGGAGCACTCAACGAAGATGTGAATACGAATGCACAGAAGGTGCTCGTGGACAACGGTTACCTTTTGATCCGAGAGCGACCCACAACGAACATCAGCAGCTTAAAACTCCCTGAACAATTTCATTTGGTTACGGTGATTCCCATTGACGGCAACGAGGAAGTTCTCCTGCTGCTACAGAAGGTCTCTAAGAAGTTGCATATGGAACCCACTGTCGTTAAGGTTTCGGATAAAGACTCGAGCTTCGATTGGATAGGTCAGGTGCAGTCCGCTATAAGCATGAAGACGCCTGTCGTTATGTATGCATTCAAAGAGGAGCTGAATGGTCTGATCGGCTTGGTCAACTGTTTGCGAAAGGAGCCCGATGGCAATTTGGTCACCTGTTTCTTCATTGATGATCCTAGTGCACCAGAATTCGACCTAAAAGATCCATTTTATGCGAGTCAGTTTGCACTGGGCCTTGCATTCAACATCTATCGTCAAGTAAGTAGCATCTTGGATATATTTTACAAGGATTATTAGAATACATATATGATTATTGATGTAGGGTGCTTGGGGCAGTCTGCGACATCTGCATCTGCCTGTGAATGATGAGGTCAAACCTCGAGTGGATCACATTTATGGCAATGTGATGCAGCGCGGCGATTTGTCTTCATTGCGCTGGTTCGAAGGTCCCCTCGATCCCCAGGACTGCAGAATTAAAATAGCGTACTCATCGCTCAACTTCAGAGACGTAATGCTGGCCACGGGCCGCCTGGCCATTGAACTATACGGCACGAGTCGCATCGATCAAAGTTGTGTGCTCGGCTTCGAGTACTCCGGCATCGATAAGAAAACCGGTCGTCGGATTATGAGCATGGTAGTAAAGGGCGGTGTTGCGTCGTATGTGGAGAAACCCTCCAAGCTGATCTGGGACATTCCCGATCACTGGAGTCTGGAGGACGCCGCTACGGTTCCCGTTGTCTACATTACAGTCTACTACGCCTTCTTCATGGCCACCGATATTCGCAAGGGCAAGAGCATACTCATTCACGCTGGCACTGGCGGCATTGGCTTGGCGGCCATTCGAGTGGCTTTGGCCTACAACTTGAATGTGTTCACCACTTGCAGCACACCCCAAAAGAAAAAGTTCCTGTTGGATACGTTCCCACAACTGAAAGGTATACACAGAGTGCATCAAATTTATGGATGATATATTTAATCGAATTATTATTTAGAATCCCAAATTGGAAACTCGCGTGATACGTCTTTCGAGCTGATGGTGCAGCGAGAAACCGATGGCAAGGGTGTTGATTTTGTGCTGAACTCCTTGTCGGAGGATAAGCTGCTGGCATCTGTGCGCTGTCTTGGTATGTCCGGACACTTCTTGGAGATTGGAAAGTTCGATATGGCCAATGACACAAAGTTGGGCATGAGCTGCTTCCTGAAGGAGCTCACATTCCACGCTGTGTTGGCTGACAACCTGTTGGTGGCCCCCGATGAGGATATTTGGGTAATCATTGCCCCCATATATATATATATATATATATACATATAAATGAGTCCATGTATTTAATCTAACTAATTCAATTGTTATCTGCAGCACTTGAAGAAACTAATTGATATGGATATTGCCGCCGGCATTGTGCAGCCCTTGCCGGTGACCGTCTTTCCGGCGCACGAACTCGAGCAGGCCTTCAGGCATCTGATTGGCGGCAAGCATATTGGCAAAGTCATAATTAAAGTACGTGACAACCCAGAAGCAGCCGAAACGCTGCCGGTGCGTGTCCTCAGCCAAGTGTACTTTAAGCCGCACATGAGCTATGTTATACCCGGAGGTTTGGGCGGATTCGGCATGGAACTGGCCGATTGGATGGCCCTCCGTGGCGCCCGCAAGCTGGTGCTTAGCTCCAGCCGTGGCATCAGCAAAGACTATCAATCCTATCGCATTGCGTACGTAAATGCATTTGAATACCAAACATCTAAGTAATATAATTGTATTTCGAAACAGACTTTGGAAGACTTACGGCTGCGAAACTGTAGTTAACATGGCGGACATATCCACAATTGAGGGCTGTCGCAATCTGCTGCTGGAGGCTGCCAAACTGGGACCAGTTGGAGGCATTTTCAATCTGGCTGTGGCGTTGCGAGACGGCATCTTTGCCAATCAGACCGTGGAGCAATTCATGCAGAGCTTCGCGCCCAAGGCGATTGCCACCAAGCACTTGGATCTGCTGTCCCGCATTCTGTGTCCGGACCTGGAGCATTTCGTGGTATTCTCGAGCGTGTCGTGTGGTCGAGGCAATGCTGGGCAAACGAACTATGGTATGGCCAATTCAATCATGGAGCGTATCATCGAGTGCCGTCACAGAGATGGACTGCCGGCGAAGGCCATTCAATGGGGTGCTGTGGGCGAGGTTGGTCTGGTCGCCGACATGGCTGAGGATAAAATTGACATGGAAATTGGCGGAACGCTGCAGCAGAGAATCTCGTCGTGCCTGCAGGAGTTGGACACATTGTTCAGTGCAAAGTCACCGATTGTCGCCAGCATGGTGGTTGCCGAGAAACGTTCGGGTCGTTCCGGAAACGAAAGTATTATCGATACGGTAATGAACATTATGGGCATACGTGACCTGAAGTCCGTCTCCCTTGGCACAACCCTCTCGGAGATGGGCATGGACTCGCTGATGGCTGTTGAAATCAAGCAAACACTTGAGCGTGACTTCGAGCTCATATTAACGCCACAGGATCTCCGTTCGCTCACCTTCCAAAAACTGCAGGAGTTCATGGAGGCGAGGGAGAAGGATAACACGGATGCTGTGAAAATGATTTTCGCCTCTGACGGCCAGCCCATTGGCATGGACCTGATGCTGCGCAATCTGGGCGATGAAGCCCACTGTGACCAAGTCATGTATGCTCTGAAGACCCGTGCTCCGCCTTCGAAGCAAAGTGTGCCACCCAATATCATAATTCCCGGCCTGGAGGGCACAGCGGGCCAGGCCTGGTATAACATTGGCGCCGGCCTGAACAGCAGGGCCAATGTGCTGCAGCTCCATCAATTTGCTCAAGCGGAGACTGTCAGTGAGATAGCTAACCTGGCACTGGAGGTAAGTCAATGAGCCAATATCAATGCCATCAAACCCTAATGAAAATTCTTTTGCAGCACGTGAAAACGCTTCTGAAGCCGACTGATCCATTCTACCTCATTGGCTACTCCTATGGCTCCTTTGTGGCACTACAGCTGGCCGCTTTGCTTGAGAATTCGGGCTTCCGTGGACACATCCTGCTCATTGATGGAGCCCCACACTTCCTGACCAGACTAACGAATCTCCACTTGGGTGCAGACTACACCGATAACGATCTATACGACTTGCTCTTCTCAAAGATCGTCAGTCAAATATTCCCTGACGAGACTAATGAGTCCGCAGCCATTATGTTCCATAAGCTCGATACTCTCAAGGAGAAAATGGACTTGCTAATGGAGTTTGCGGAGAAACAGAAGATTTACAGCAAAGAATACTGCCGAGTTATAGTCGAGGCCATGTTCCACAGGGTTAAAATGGCCGCTCGATTCGACGTGGACAGCATAAAGGACTTGAAATCACCCATCACACTAGTTCGGCCCGCAGAGGTCTCTCTGCAGGATATCGAGGAGGACTATTGTGTGTCGAAGCTGACATCGGGCAAGGTCACGCTCAAGGTGATCGAGGGCAATCACACGACCATGTTGGACAATCCAGTGCTGCCACAGATTATCAATGGATTCGATCCCGGACTATTGGACGACAAGAACTTCGAGGAGTATATCCGAGATGTTAAGCCAGTGACCGTGGTCTAAGCATTCCATATTATCTTTTATTATCTTCTAGTTATTTTCACTTAAACGTTGTCAAGCTTGCACATCACATCTTATTACTGTAATACTAATAAAACATGTTTTCTTCACAAATTTATGGCGTTTCACATTTGAAAACGAACTCCAGACAAATTTACTAATTTACCCTAATTGCTTAATATCAATGCTGATGAACCTTTTGCGTGTGAACGCTCTGAACTGATCTTCGATCACTTACTCAAACCACAACCAGTTTAACAATTTATGAATATGTTCGAATGAATGTCGTCTCTTCAATAAAGCAACTCATTAAAGATTGTTCTTAAGTTCGGCACCCCGCAGATTTTATGATATGGTTAGCTGATTCATACAGAAGAGAGATTCAAATATATTCCTTACACCTATTCAAAATTAAACCGAAAGTAATTTGAGTGAAAAGAATATCAGAACTATATTTAAAAGTTTCTTAAAAATTTCCAATACTTAAAATCTAACGCGGTGTATTCAGTGCCTGCTGCACCGTTTGCTGGAGCAGCTGCATCTTGTGGTAGCTGGCGACATTGCTGAACGTCTTGAGCAGTTTCTCAATTTCATTGCCGCCGATGAGAGGCAAAAAGTTGCCAGCACAGGTGCAAAACTCGGCTAAATTCTCGCGTTTGATTTCGTTGCAGCGCGCACAGCGCAGGTCCTGCAGAACAAAGGACATCAGCTTGCGCTGAAGCACATCAATCATGCGCATCTCGATCTCCTCATTGTCATAGGCCACATAACACTGCGCGCAGAGCCAGACAGGGCTGCAGGAAAGTGAGAATAAGTATGAGTCCTTAAGGATAATTAGCCAAATACTTACATGCCATCCTTCATAGCGCGATGTTTGTCCTTGCACAGGTCGAGATCGCGACAGTGATTGCATGCCTTGCATATGACCTCGTTAATGATGTACGTATCACAGGGATCTGTCCATTCAGCCAGGTCGGAGAACTCGCCCACGCCAACCAGACGCAGCATATTGCGCCGCAGCTCATTGATTTGGTCCGCCAGTGTCTTGTCCACGCTGAGCACCTTGACAAGGGTGCGAATGAGCTCCAGGCCCGGACTAGGCTTGCCTTTGCCGTAGTTCTTATGCAGCTTCAGCACAAAGTCGAAGGCACAATGCGAAATATCCTTGATGGCCTGTTCGGTTGTTTTGCGTTCCGCCAGCGCTTGCATGAAGAGCGTGAGCAGGGATTCAAATTTTTCGCGGCATTCGTTCTCCTCCGGCAGCTGCTCTCCAATGGTCCAGTTTAATTCTAGAGCCAGCTCCTCTTCCTCTTCGTCTTGCTCCAGCTGCACCTCATCAGCGCCAGCTTCGACCTCTTCTACGTCATCATCATCATCATCATCATCGTCATCATCGCTGCGCGGCTTCTTCCGGACCTGACTCTGATGCAGAGTGGTGCTGCCCGCCGCTATGGCCGAGACAGTCTCATCAATGCCCTTGGGCAGGCTGCCACGTATGCCCGAGAAGTTGGACTGATCCAGCCAGAGCATGAAGTTCCAGCACTGCTCAAAGCTCAGCTGTATAGAGTGAAACATTTCCTTGTTGCGCAGGCTCTGCACAATGTAGTCCACATAGCCCAGGGCATCCGAGACGTTCTTCTTGCCCGAGCTGAGAATGATCCGGTTGAAGTCAGCATAGACTATGGTGGCACCCAGGCGCTTGAACTCCGCAATGATGCGCAAGAACATTTTCCGCATCAGATTGTTAAGAGACCTGCGCAGCGCAGGATCATAGAGCAGCGCATTGCTGGAGCGCACCCAGCGATAGAAGTGCACGATTTGAAAGTCGGAGAAGATGTTCTGATTGATGGACACCTCACGGAGCCAACCATTCACCATGGAGCGCATTACGCGAAAGGCGGCGGAGCACAAGGCAGTCTCATCATAGCTGGGCAACGTAGCTGCCGGCACCGTGCCGATCATTTCCTCGAGAGATGCTTGCGGCATTACGTCGAACGTGATGGCAGAGGAGGCGCCCTCCATTTCCTGAATCCTGTTCGACTGCAGCAATGCGCTGACGGCCAAGCTGTCCAGAGCCAGCTCGACGCACACATCTGGATAGAAACCGGGTCGATTCTGCACCACCGTGATGTTCTCCTCAAACTCGGCCAGCAGACGGCTGTCGTCCGCCTCACGGCCGCCCAGATCCGGACGCGTGCTGGCCGACCACCAAAGCACAAAGTTGTGCTTCTGCAGCAGGCGGGCGAAGAACAGATCCGCACCAAAGAGCACCGTATCCGGCGGCATGTTGCCGATAGGCACATGGAAGTAACGGCACTGATCCAGCATAAGCTCCAGCACGTTGTTCAGATTGAGGAAATGACGCACCACTGCGCGCGCACCCTGACGCTGCCAGTCGAGGCCGGAGAGCAGACTCGCATCATCGGAGATGTGTATCTGGGCCTGCGGGAACTCCAGCAGCACCGGCATGGCGGCGCTCAGTTTTCGCGCCTCGTTGGCCGTCTGCAGACAGAGCATGGTGGGACCCGGCTGCTCCTGCTTGTAGGCAGAGAGGGCGCGCTGTATGTGCCTGTAGATCTGCTTGACGTCCACCTCGATGAGCACTTCGAAGCTGAAGTCGTCCGGTGGCAGCTTCTCGACTTGTTCGGCCTGCTGCAGATTTTTGATCAGAGCCAAACGCTCCGCCGTGTAGAGCTGCTTCATGTTGGGCATTTGGTTGGCTCGCACGGTGTCCAGGGCGAAGACGAAGGCCTTCTTGCTGGGCAGCAGGAACAGCGCCCAGATCTCCTTCTTAGCCGTGGGTATATTGTGCTGGTAGAGATAAATCTTGCGCAGCTTGGTGCTGGCGTGCTGCAGGTATCTGATGTGCGACTGTGGGCGCTGCTCCAGCTGCTCAATGTTGAAGCTCTCCAGCTCGCGCGTGGACAACTGGGCCAGGCGACGCGCCTCCTCGCGCTGCACGCCACAAATGCAGCCCATGTCCATCAGGGCGCGGAACTCCAGCGTCATGTGCGTCTCGTAGATGCCCTCGATGTCGGGCGTGGCCAGATCGGCCAGCATGCCCAGACAATTGTCGCGGAACAGCTGCTCCGGCACGCTATACCGATACAGATTGTAAACGGGCCGGGAGCGGGGCAGCACACGATTCACCTTGCGCCACAGCTGCCCCTCCTCGGGCGGCGCTGCACTGCGCTGGTTCACGTAGAAGATGCGCGGCACCGTCAACTTGATGCGATGCAGCTCCTCGCCAATCAGCGCCCAGACATTGAACTGGCCCAGATCGTTGACCGGCACCAGCTGCAGTATCTGCCAGGGCTGATCCAGCAGCGTGCGCTGTGCCCGCCGCAAGAAGCCTCCCAGCGTTGCGGTGGCCGTGGTTGCCCTGCTGGCGGCCTGCGCGGATGCAGCTGCAGCTGCGCTGTCGTTGCCACTGCGATGGCGTTTGCTCTGCTGGCGGCAACGCTGACGCTGCTCCTGCTGCCAGGCCCATTTGCGCTTCTGGAAGCGCACCCATTCCACAATCGTCTTGCGCGTCTCGCCAATGGGAGGCGGCGCGCCCAGAGCCTGGCGCCACGTCTTTGGCAGAGGCGTGGACTCGCCACCACTGCCCTCTCCATCCTCGCCATCGAGTTGCGTACGCTTGCGCTTGGTTACCATGGGCCTGCCAGAGCCGTCGGCATCATCTTTGCCCGCCAGGTCCTCCATGTCGCCTAGCTCCAGCTGCTTATCCTCCGTGGTCAGCGCTGGCTTGGGCCGCGGCCGGCTGGTGAACATCTCGTTGATGCGCCGCTGCTTCAGCACATCATTCTTCTCCAGCATCTTCTTGTGCAGCCAGTCCGGATGCTGCACGCGCGGCACCGGATTGGCCAATCCCTGCAGTGCAGCGGGTATGGTGATGATCTTTTGGATGGTGCCGCCCAAGCGCTCGATATAGTAGTTCCAGTCGAGCACATCCCGGATATCCGCATCGCCCATGGTGTTGTCCTTGAGCCAGCGGCGCAAGTGATGACGCCGCACACTCGGCTCCGACTGGAAAATGGCCAGCGGAACGGCTCGCTCAGTGACCGGTGCTCCCTCGGGCTTTTTGGATATGATGTACTTGCAGGCCAGGCCCGCATCCTTGACCATCTGCTCGCCGAGAAACTCGGCCAGTCGCTTGGCCGTCGATATGGATGTGCTCTTCTGCGCGCCGTATTCCTCCAGCTTCTTCGACATGGACTTGTTCTCGGCAATCAGCTCGAACAGCTCCGAGTCTGGCAAATTGGAGCCGCGACTGTAGAGCACATCCAGCCAGTAGTCCGCCACCTTGGCCACAGAGGCATAGCACTCCTCCAGCGTGCTGCCGGCCAAGAACGCTTCGAATACGGAGCTCTGGAAGTTTTTGATCAGCTGCAGTTCACCACGTCGCTTCACCTCGAAGCCCTTCAACTCGGCCAAGGAGCCATCGAAATTGAATACCGCATAGCGTTTCTTCAGCTTCTTGCCCTCCTCCTTGGCGGCGGGCAGCACCATGGCCAGATACGGACCGTCAACCTCAAAGAAAATGGAGTTCTCATCGCGCACATCGTAGCTGGGCGGCTCGCCATCCGCTGACTTGCGCAGCTCGTGGTACTGATCGTTGGTGAAGTGATCCTTGACCATGGTGTTGAGCACAGCATTGGGRTACGAAATGTTGATCTTCTTCTTCTTCTCGTGAGTAGTATGCACCGTGAACTCCTGGGGAAAGGAGCCCGGCAATATGCACCAAATACCATCCGTGTCCAACTCCAACGGACGCCCAACGCGCTCAATAATCTCGCGCGCCTTGGTGATGATGTTGGAGCCCGTGAGACAGACAATGCCCGCCATGGGCATGGAGTGCCAGCGCGCACCCCGTCGCATCACATAGCCATAGAAGGAGTTGAGAATGCACTTGTGGGCCAGCTGCAGTGAGTCGTACAGCACCTCGCGTCCCTTGGCCGCTTTGATTTCGGCTGCATCACCCGAGGCGACAGCGGCATTGACCGCCGCCTTCGCCGTCTTGGTCAGGCCCTTGTATTCGTAGCGGCGATCTCGAAAGGCGCGCACAGTGTCCACATAGAAGCTGTTCTCCTTTTGGCAAATGGTCGAGGTGCGCGTCTCCAGTTTGGTGATCTTGGTCTTCTTGTACGCCTTGCGGCAGTAGTCCGAGAGACGCTTCTTCTCATACGCCGCCTGGTCCTCCTTGGAGAGCTCGTGGAAGGCGCGCGTTGGACCGCCTGGAAAGAGCGGTGGGAACTTTTCCGTTTCCAGCTGCTGCTGAATGCGCTGAAACTCGTTGCGGGAGGCAGGCAGCATCTCGCCGCGCCAGAGCCAATCCATGGTACGCTTGCAGCGCACACCAGGCTTGTTGAAGTCACACGCGGCGCAATCCAGTTCGGTGACCATGGCCGATGGCTGCAGCCGATTGGTTAAAATGATGTTCGGGTACATGGCGCCCACATCCAAATGGTAGATGACCGGCTGCTCCAGCCGATTGGGTATGTCGTGCAGCCCCTGCAGCGCCTGGACAATCTCCTGCTTCACGTCATCCAAATTGCTGACCAACTCCAGGGGTATGCCCTCCTCCACCTCGATGGCGTGCTTGAGCACAGCGTCCACATGATCCATTAGCTGCTTGACCATGCTGGGATCCAGCCTGAAGCGGCATGGTATATCGGCGCGAAAGACGCCCGACTCCAGCGCCTCCACGTGCCCGCCCACATACGTCTCGGAGTCGAGCACATGACCCTCGTTGGAGAGCTTGTTGAGCTCGCTCTGATGCTTGTTGGGAAACACAATGTTCGCATGATAGGCCTGCACCATGAGCAGCGTCTCGCACAGCGTGCCGGAGCCCTTGCGCAGTATCTCGTCCGGCTCCATGGGAATAATCGTGTTCAGGGCGAATATAAACGGATGCACATACTTCATGTAGAGGTAGTAGGTGGCCACCGCATCGGAGACGGAGTAGTTGGACAGCACTTGTGGCTGCTCGACGGCCATACGGCACATGTCCTCGGGATCGAGCTCGACCGGATCATAGCGCAGCTTGGCCTTGGCCACCGCCTTCAGGCCTTGGGAGCCGACGGGCAAATAGGAATCTCGCTTCACCCAGCAAAGACAATCCATGTGTATGGCGGGACGACTCAAGTAGTTGCCATCACGCATCTTGGAGAAGCCGATCTCCTGCTTCATATCCAGATCGTAAACAGCCGCACGCGTCTCCACGAACGGCCAATCGAAGAAATCACCGTTGTAGGTGACCACAATGTGCGGACGCACCTCCATGATGTGGTCAAAGAACTTCTGCAGCAGCTGCATTTCGTTCTCCTCGTTGAATATGATGAAGTTGCCCTCAAACTCGGGCTTCGGCGTGTACTCAAAGTCCTCAATGTCGGAGGAGATGATCTCCCGATTGGTTATCAAATAGCCCTGGCCATCAATCATGTACGAGATCATCATGATCTGATCGGTCTGGGCATCGGGAAACTTGAGCGGCAGCTTTGTTGTCTCAATATCGAAGGCCAGCACCACGGGCTCCGGCCGGTCCAAGATATCCGGCCGGCACGTAATTATCGGCAGCTCCACGCCACTGCGGCAGCGTATATTATACCACTGACCACAAAAGATGCGCAAATCGATGGAGACGCGCACATGGTAGGGCACATCGTGCTCCCGAATGTCCATGATGCAATCCATATAGTCCTGTTGTCGCTTTCCGCTGCCATCGTCCGCACCACTAGCCGATTGGGCCAGCGAATTGGCCAGCATTTGCATGTAGTATGTGTTGGACTTCTCCCGCTCCGTATTGCGACGCACTGCAGCCATGAGCTCGCGACGCACCTTGGTCATGGCCGTCTGGTTGAGAAACGAGAGCTTGATGTAGTGCTGCTTCAGCCCCGACAAATGATTGGCCAAATCTAAGTCTTCCTTCGTAATGTGCTCCAGGCTAGCAATCTGCCCCGAATACTTGCGGCCCAGGAAGCGCGCCACCTCCAGCTGCATATTCGTCTCTGGGCGTATCAACAGATAAGGCTGATAGGCCACGGTGCACTTGAAGCGCGAGCCATCCATTTGTATGAAGAACAAATCCAGCGCAGCCACCAGGCGACGATCGTCGTCCAGCACTTCGTTCTGTGGAATAGAATATATATATTTCTGTTTAATACTCATTTATTCAGTGCCTCACCGTGTGCATGTTGATGAGATAGCCGGTTCGCTCCTGACTATCCTTAACTCTGTCGAAGCCATATTTCGAGTCGATTTTATCGTTCTCCCGCGACTGCCGGTAGCCTGCCTCATTGAAGAAGTCGTCGCTGGCAGAAACGAAAACAAATCACATTAGGCTTGCGGCTCCACAGCATTTAATAGCCTACACACTTACCCCTCGGCACGTGTTTCACTAACAAACTTGCCAGTGTTTTGGAGCACCTTTGCCCTGCCACTTTCTGCCATTTTATAATTGCTTTTAAATGTTTATTTCACATTTATATATCTTAGTAAATTATGCCTTGATTTGGCGCCTTTTACTGCAGCTGATGATGGGCGAACGGCTGGCAAATATCGATACATCGATATTTTACGCATTAAACTGGCTCAGCTGACCTAATAAAATGCGCAACGTGAAGTTGGCTCCAAAGACGCAGCGCAAAATTGAGTAGCATGAGGCTGCTTGCGCGCCATACATTTAAAGTTGTCTCAGCTTAACGAAACTTTATTGTAAAATTCTATACTAAAACAGAAGGAATTACAACGAATTAAATTCTATTTACGATTGATATATAACGGATATATAAAAATAATTATTATTTTGTACATTTCTAAATAATTGTTGTGGAAAATAGTAAATTGATAAAATTGTGAAGTAGGGCAACAAGTCATTTGGGTGCAAGTTAATAAAATTTGACAGCTGTATGCGGTATGTTGACAAAAACGAAATTAATGACCGCATGCTGCTGCATTGTTTTAGATTTGGCCAGACACTTAAAAATAAATTATGTTATGTCCTCATATAACACTTCCGAATGCCCCATTGACGACCGACAAGTTTTATACCACTTAAGTTGGCTAGTATACCAAAATATTTGACTCAAAACAAACCATTATAAATTTTATATGTATATCTCTCGTTATGTTAATTCCAGCCAGTTTAGTTTGCAGTCCGCTGCATTGTGCATGTTTTTGTAGCCTCAAATCAAATTACACACGCACACAACAAAATTCATTCATAAAATCCGGCTCACCTACACGCGTAGTAAAAATGCAGTCGGCGAGCAACGCATACATACATAGATACACACACATGCAACACCATATTCACTCACTCTCTCACAACGGTGCAGTGTTGCGCGCAGGCGCTCTTTTAGATTCTGCTGGTCTGGCTCATGCGCCCTCGCGCTCTTTGTCGCTTAGCAGCTAGCTCTCTTTCGTTGAGTTCGTCCTGCTGCGCCGTGCACTTGTCGCTGTGTCGGTATTTAATTGCTGCCCCTGCCACAAGTTGACAAACTCTTTGTTATGGGCAACGCTGTCGCTGCCAGTCAACCATATTGGTTACACGTGTTCGTTATGCAAGGCTGCCCCTAGTGGAGGGAACAGGAGCCGCTCAATCTTTTTGCCCCTTCCTGAAGCGCCAGTGCTGCCTGACAATGCACACACACACTAATATGAATCTGTGTGGGTAATTTATGCGAAAAGCGTTGCCAGAATATAAACACACATACATATGTATGGGTCTGTATGATCATAAGCGTATGTATGTTTGTAAACCTGTTTGCAGCCTTTCTGGGAGCGTTTCGTGTGGAACAGTGGGCATATCCAGCAAATTCATTCGCTATTCTGTGTCACTGTGCATCGCTTGCTAAAAATGATTGCCGTACACAAGCATAGCTACACTCACTCAGTCGCATACACACACACACAAACACTTGTACGGTTCTGACCACGCAGAGGTTTTTTTTTTGTATCGTTGCTGTTCTTCGCGTAGAATCACTTTGTTTTTGTTGTTTGGTTTATTCTGATTTTCTTTTCGCTCAGACTGCACATCGATGGCGTGTGTGTGTGGGTTCTTGCTCTTTGGTTTGCGGAAAATTGTATCTCTTGATGCTCCCACTCGCGGTGCTCTCTTCTTTAGAATCTTTACTGCGTACATTTGACAGACTTCGTTTGCATATGCTCAAGCTGTGAATGTAAATCTGTGTGTATGTATTTATATATTCTATATTTGTTCTTTGTGTATTGTGTTTCTGATTTTGCACACCCATAAAAGAGTAGCGCAAAAAAAAAGAAACTACAAAAAATTACTCTCGCTTTTTTGGCGTTATCAGTTCGCTGTTCGCCGTTTGCCGCTCCTTCTTCTTGTTCTGCTTCGGCACTTGCTCCGCTCGCTCAATTCCCTCTCTTCGCACATGTGTGCATGAGCGCGTCGGCGTCGGCGTTCGGCGTGTTGTTGTGTCTGCTGCTGCGCTGCCTGCTTCAGTTTGTTGTCGACTCTCTTTGCGTTTGGACGCGACGACGTGTGTGTTGTGTCTCTTGTCCATACTGCTCCAACGGTTATGTGCTTTGAATATTTGAATGCTTCTTAACTATACGCAATAACAACAGCAACGACAACAACAATCACCACCCCAACCAACGTACACAATTTAATTAGCAAGAATTCTGCTCGCTGTGATCGCGCAACTCGTGAGTGCGTCGTCGTCGCCCATTGCCAAAGAAAAAGCGGCACACAGAAACGCCAATCGATAGCCAAATCTTGTTATTGTTGTGTCATCGAAACGAGTGCAATTGAAATTTGAAATTTGAATTCGAAACAACAACAAAAAAAGGCAATCAAGAATAAATCAAACAGAAACAATAATTGTTGCTGTTTTTGTTTACACAAATTTTATGCATATTTAGGATAGAAAAGTGGCCGGTGCAAATATTGATAGATCCAAATATAGCAAAAGAGCAGCTCAAAGCGGCTAAAACGTTAAACCTTTGTCGTGAATAAAAAATAAATAAAAAAAACACAAATCAAACAAAATAAACAGCCAGAAGCAACGGCAAAGATTCAAAAATCTGTCTACAAAACCACAAAATCGCTTAAAAGATCGTCTGTGCGTGCGCGTATGTTTATATATGTGTATGCGTGTGCGCGAGTCTGTGTGTGTGTAGTCGGATCTATCTGTGTGGGTCGCTCTGATCCGTTGTCGTTCGATCTCTGCCGCGTCGTCGTCGCCGTCGCCGTCGTCGTCAGCTGCAGCGTTAGCGKTGCGTCTTATAAGCCGAACTAAAGCCAAGACCCGATCCGATCCGATCCGATTCAATCCCCGATTGACGATCCCAATTCTCTGCGTTTCCTTTCGTGCGCTTTGTTTCAGGCACGTACGTAATCTCTCTCGCCGGCCATAATCAACCTGCCTGCTGATCCACGCGATATAAACACAGTTTCACAGATACAGATACACACTTCAAACTGAAAGATACAAATATTCAGAACGAAAGATACAGCAAGAGAGACAGGGAGAGAGCGAGAGAGAGAGAACTTAAGCTGTCGGCAGCTCCTGCTTTCTTGCCGTGCGACTGACTATGTTTCCGATCAAGATTATGCGCCTAATTTGAAGTTGTAATTAATTTGGATACCCTAATAAAAAAGAGAATAAAAACTCGTAAGAAGAAAACAAAAGCCAACAGAAAAATACATATATACATATATATATAAAGCGAAGCAGCCAAATAGCAGCGGCTACCTCTTCCAGCATTTGAGGGGCGTTACGCGCCTCTATTTTATTGCCCCATCGGTGAGTGAAGTGTTGAAAACAGTAGTTGAAGTATTTTGATTCAGCTTTGGCTACCAGCTAGAAACCCTTTCGATGTGTGTGCGCGTGCGCATGCGTGTATGTGCGTCTGTGTGTGTGTGTGTGTGTGTGTTGCCTGTTTTCTTGAATGAATCTAGGAAAAACCAGTTTGAATCAAGCTGCGCTATCGCGGCCCTAACTCTTACAACCATTCAGCCAGCTACCAGGATTGTTGGCGATCTCTCAGACTGTTTGCCTGCCGATGGTTGGGGGCCGGGCTAGCTCTTTTTGAACCTTGAGCATAATTGAAATTACAACTGTTACAGTTTCCGGTGCTACCTTTGATTGCATTTCTTTGTTTTCCTCTTCTCGCTCTTTTTTTTACGGCTATCGATTCCCATTTCGTTAATGGGAATGTGTGAATGTTGGTGGTTTTTGTTTTTGTTTTTTATTTTTTTGGGGCCAGTTGATAGCTTTTTAAACCGCTACTGTAGAGTTTCCCTAATGTGCCTAGTATGTGGATCAATGAACGCTCAAGATCATTTACGATCATTGATAATATGGGCCATAAAAACACTCAGCATGTACTTAATTCACCTGAGCATTGGCAGTCCGCCCTGGGCTATGCTCAAATATCGCTAATGAATTGAACATATAGGATTTTTATTTACTCATCAAGTAAATGAAAGGATAAATGTTAATCAATACGAAAGAGATCATGGCATCAATAGTCTATTCAATTGTGCCAATGAAAACTGATTGAATTATTGAATATAAAGTTAAATGATCGTGGGACATGTCTACGGAGAGAAAGAGTAGCGAAGAGGGAAAAAAGAGAGGGAAAGAAATGGGGTTAATGAAAGAAAATCCATATACCTGTTCAATGATTCCTTTTAGATGGATTAGAATTAGAAATTATGAAAGATCAGCCAAGTTTATTTCATCATCATCAAATCAGCTGGATTTATTCAAATTGCTCAGATCGTCTGACATTTGACCGATTCCAAAAAGTACATGTTCCTCACTTACAGTTCACTGCATTTGAGGGCTGGTTCGTTGCCCCATGCCACGTTTAATGATCTTGGTCCTTGCTTGTGCTGGATATCAACCTGCCGCAGACAGACTGAGCTCAAGATCGATACCATTAAACACACACACACACACACTCACGAACACACACACATGCGCATGTGCACAGTCTCTGAGAGGGACCAAGTGAAGGAGGAGACAACGGGACAGACAGACAGCCAACACATGTGCGCAGGCGCACAAGCAGATGATCTGTGAAGATCCCTTTCCCAAAAAAGAACAGAAAGTGTATTCTACCGTTACGTGCACACAAAAAATTGCACCCCTATTGTTGCATGCCACGTTGTGGCATGTCTGGTCCTCTGATTCGGAGTCTGCGCAAGGAGTGTGCACCATATCGAAATATCATATTCGTTTACAATCTGTTTCTTTAGCATCTGCTGTCCGTTGTCCCGCCGCACAGTTGGCTGGACCATTTTTTTTCTTTCATCTCTTTTCTTCTTCATTTTTTTGGTGCCTTCCATCTCTCTTCTTCTTTTCTCACTGTCTGTGACTGTAGCTCTGACTGTCTGTGTGTGTGTGTGTGTGTGCGTCCGAAATGCTCCATGCATATTACTTTGTACTTTTCTAGGGAAAACATATGCTCAGATTTTCAATTTTGACTTCGTAGAAAGTTTCTCTCGATTGCTGCTACGTTATCTACTGCGCTCTCAGATAAGATCGTGTTTTCAAGATACCGGATTGTGGGTACAAAAATGACGTAGTTTTAATGAACGCTCGTGTCTGTTGCAGTCTTTCCAGATGTCTATCTTTTAAGGTCTAACCGCTATTTAATTAGTTGCAAAATCAAGAATAGGAAGAAAGAAAAAGTTCTTATAAAATCTGATGTTGGTTATACAACCCATGGTTGATAATTAAAATCTAGCAGAGAATTTAATTAAAAAGAGAATCATTAGCATCATTGACATCAACATTATTGATAAGCTAAAGTCTTATGTTTGTTTATTTATTTATTGGCCTCCAATCTTCTTCTTTGCTAATGTGTAATAAGAAAACAGTGTAAACCAATAAATACTGAAGTGTGCGTAATTCCAGTTAATTGGATGATAGCGAGCTCTTATGCTAACAGATCGAATCAAAGTGTTCTCGATAATCGCTATCGTTTATTTCTGCCACTTGACCAACTTGAGTTAATCAGAAGTCCATAAACACAAATATTTGTATATAAGGTTTCTGTAACTGCAAATTTGCAATTCTTGGATATGTCGGAATCGATGTAATTGATCAAATATAATGTCGTGCTCATTAACTTAACTAATCCTGAAATTGTGATACATATGTATATATGTTATATAATTTATCATTCTTGTTCAATTTTTGCTTGGAACTAAATTTCAAACTGATCAAGCTGAACAAACAGTTTACTCATTGTATTACTGTATTATATGTACAACATAGATTATGTTATATATATTCCGATTGTGTGCATGTATTTTCTTTATGATTCCTCCATATATTGCTTAATGTAGCTCAAATCTGTTCGGGGCCTAATCGTAAAAGTGTGCGGCAAACACGTAAAATCAATCGGAATATTCATTTGCTTATTATTTCTGCCAATTTGATGCGTTAATAAATTATTTTCGTGTGAAAAGTGTACTAAGTGTAGATGTGCCGAAAATATATATAGATACTTTTACATGAATCAACCATATATATATAGTTGGATTGCATATATTTATATGTATATATGCGCTTTATTGCGCTGTCAAAATCAATTAGGTGCATATATAGCATATGTACTCTGTAAATGTCATAACACTTTTCTTGTTGTTGTTGTTGTTATTACTGTTGTTTTGTTCTGCATTGATTTGATTGCACTGCAAATTTAATGCCATTCGCTGACTGCACTCGGAGATTTTATTATCCATTTAAATGTTGATTAACTTAAATTCGTATTTACCGCACTCAATCACACTTGCTGGGTGACAGCCACTCAGTCCGTCCGTCCGTCTCTCTGTCCGTCTGTCTCTGTGTGTGGGTGGGTGTAACTGGGGTAGACAGTTGGCCAGATCAGACAGAAACTAACGGCCAGGCAAATCAGCAAAGCAAATGAAAATTGATTACACAAGCGAGTAAATCAAAGCAAAACAATTTATGCAGTTAGATCAATGCGAATCCGAATTCGCAGCCGAGTCGAAAAACAGTTTAACATATACTCGTATGCAAATGCCTGTATATATGTATATAGATATATGTATGTACTATACATATATATGTATGTATATAGAGCTGTATGCAGATGGCAGATAACGTGTGTAGATAACGGTATTTGTCATATATACAGACACCTTCAGGCGTCCACGTCACACTTCATTTCCATAGCGTATCTAATTAGGCACTGCCTCTTCGAATCCCATTTCCAATCAGATTCAGTTACCTCTGCCCAATGCATAACTTAGCCTACGCATCCAGCACATATATGAGTACACGCTATATAGTATATGTATATGTTATATATGGCATGTAAGATCTTACAATGCCAATCAAAATTCAAAATGCGTAATTGAGCTCCAGAAGTTATCTTTAAGTTGTATTATTTATAGAGGCAGCTAAATATTTATATATAACACTTATTTGTATATTTGTATAGTATATAGTGCGGGTCTGACTCTAATTTTGTACAAATACATTATTCAGCTTTTGTTTTCTTTATTAAAGCGCAAAACGTCACTTCCGTTTGATATAATCTTYTCTCTTTTGTAGTAAGTATATATAAATAAATAATAATATATTTCTTTTTGTGGCTCATTAGAATAGAATATTAGGCCTAGCGATCTCGGACAGCTTATCTGCTAGGCTGCGTAGACGGCCTTTGTCAGATTGATAACAACCCCACCGGAAGCTGCTGCGACAATTTATAGTTATTTATATTTTGCTGTTGGTAGAAACCCTCGGAGATTCTGAGCTCGATAAACGGGCTGCTTAGGCAAGTGCACTTGACGGAAGTGTAGAGCTATCTATATAATTAGATACACAATATATTTTATCCTCCAAGTCTTCCGATACCTAGAAGTCCAAGAAACTAACTAAATTTCCAAGATTATGTAAGATCAAAGAAACTTTTACAAGCCGTTTGTGGCAACAAAAACTCTTTGTGGTCTTGGCAAATATTGAAGAACTACAGCAGAGAAATATATCCATTAGATATATACATACGTATGCATATATATATTTAGAAAATCAGGCCCCTCGTATATCGAGCTCTATGCTATGATGGATGCTGTATAAACAAAACCATGTTTTATATGCAAACCGTGGCGGCTCCTTTTGTTGTGGCCTTGTCGCCAGTTGAGGGGCGGACACTTTGATGTTGTGCTTGCCTCGTGTCGGAGAGCAGTTCTTAAAACGTACCGTACCGATGATCTCTCATACTATGTACACACCGTGCCCGACTACGGACTCTGTCTCACACCAAAGCGTCATAATTGCTTGAGTCAACAACATGTCCGTGGCTCAAATTGAGCACAAAGGTGCGAACTGCGGCCATAGTTGAAGGTGTGAACGAGGTCCATTCAGGCCTACAGCCTGCTAAGTAATGGGCCAATAATAATGTGGGAAATTGAGTGCGTAGCGCCAGGGCAATAGCTTATAGGCCCTCTCACTTGTTTGTTTATCGAGCACTTTGCGCTTTTACTAATTGTTGCTTCATTTATTTACACACTCTCACACTCTGTCTCTCTGTCTTTCACCTTAGATGAGTGCACAATATGGAACTGGCGATTTGTAAGACAGATCTGTCTGCAACGAAATTTATGCTGCCACCCGCGCTGCCAGCCGCAGCGGCAATTGCAACAACAACGGCAACGGCAACTGCAACACACTCATTTCTCGACCGGGCGGCACAAATAAACGAGCTCTTCAACTTCAATCCAGGACAACATTTGTTTAAGACCAACAACTCCTTTCTGAACAACAACAACAGCAGCAGCAACAGCAGCAGCAGCAACATGCGACTCAAAAAGAACAGAAAAGTTACATTTCTGTCCAGCATAGTTGAGGTAAGTTTACGATCTATACATGCATGATCTTAATTTGAGTTAAGATAAGCACATGGGATGAGATGAGATGGACACAAAGATGAGCCTTTCACAAATAAGCTTCCGTTAAATTCGATCAGATAATCCTAAAGATCACACAGCTTTCATATATCAGTTCAAAGATGGCATGATCAATTGGTAGTTCCAGGCAAATTCGATGATATATATACATATATGTATATATGTATAATATATAATATATTCAACTATTTGTGTTGATCAGATGTATCTATCAACTGTCGATCGTTTATACTGCACTAGCGCTAGCATTGTGAAAACTTGTATCTCTGATCGGCGATCAGTTGTCGGTCGGTCTGACACTTGCTAAATTTATACGGCCATAAGTATTTATAGTCCTGATCGTCCCCATGGCTTGTTACGCCTGTCGATCAGCTCAGGCTGTTCCCTCCAATGTCCCATCGGTTTAGACGATCTTGAGGCCATTTCGATATGCAGAACACGTCAACTTATTCTAAATTTGGCTGCCCAAACAGAACGCAATTATAATGTATTATGATTTTGTGTCTTATGCACTTTTTATACCCTACACCCATGACATCAGGCATATCAGACAGATACTATAAATAGCTGATTGGCATATCAATTAATGATGATCAATATGATTGATTATAGAAATATTGTGCTTACGTATTCTGTCATTTATTATCGAAGTGATATGAAATGCAGGGTATGTGAATTTCGTTAAGCTGTTTCGACTAGAATCTTTTGTTTATGCGCTATAAAAGTAATGAGCGTGCCACTTAATTTATGACACAAATAGTCAGCCCAGCGAGACCTGCCCGTAATGTAAATAATCAAGAGCCTATACAGAAGTCTACCAAAAACGGCAGACAATGAGCGAGGATACAATGCGTGCAATATATGGGAATTATAAGGCTTCGCCCAACTGCGTCATCCCGATCGACAATAGCTCGATCAGCCGCTCCATTCATGTTCCTATAAGTCTTCCTACATATATAATCGTATATATATGTGATCTTCTTAGAATTGTTCTGGAACCATTTAAAATGGATCAGTTGAGACTGTAGTTACGATCTATTACATTATTTGGTTTCCTTCTCTCAACTTTCAACCATGGGTACAAAAATTCTCAATAGGAAAAGCTTTTTCTGTAATTTGTCTGGTTTTAGGTATCGGCTCCTTTTTTGATTATGTAAAGGTATTTTTGGCATTTGGCGCTGCCAGGGCTTGCGGTTAACATATCCGTTGAGCTGACCACTTTCATCCGGTCATGTCGGTCAACAGCCTGGCCTGGTCGAGCCTGGCGGAGTCAAAGGACCTGAGTTGAAACTGGCCGCATGCGCAGTCGCGTGGAAAATGCAGTCAAGTAATTTAATCTATAGTCTGGCTGAAAGTCGTGTCTTAAGTTTCTCCTCTGTATATAGAGAGTATATAGTTCTTTTTTGTCGCCTCTTTCTTTCTTTCATTCCTTTTTTTTTCTCTCTTGACATTTAAAGCTAACCACGTAACAGAAGCTGAACTTTTTTGAGAGACTGTCGTCCGCTGGAGCAACGAATCAAATTCCAATTCGAAATTCAAATTGAATTGTCTGTTTGGCGTCAATTGATTACGATATTTATGAAACATTTCATTTGACTACTGTGACCTCCATTATCATAAACGACAATAAACGACCGAAGCAGCAGCCATAGACACATCGCTAACATGACGATCCCACAGCACCACACACCCCTCCTCCCTAATCATCGCCTAGTTCAAAGTGTGTGTGTCTGAATGTGTGTGTGTGTAGAAGTCAAATGTACAATTCAATTTATTAGAACGCGTTTAACATGATCAAAGCCTGTGGACAGCTTCAGCAATTGGGGCAGTCACAGCGCTCGCAACCCCCTTCTCTCCTCATCTCTCCCATTCAACCTCTGCAATCTGTTTCGTATTGCTCTGATTGTTCTACGTTCTATTTATTTGTGGAGGGGACTCACAGCTCAATTTTACTAACTTTCCTGAAAGTGCCTAAGCTCGAATTCAACACAGTCCAATGCTAGTTCATTTGACATCATTCATTAGGGTCGGTGTATCCAATTTGCTAGGGCAATATTAATTATATGATGTCGAGGTAGTTAAGCTGTATAAAAAGTTTTTATATGGGTTGCGTATTTATTATCCCAGTATTGAAACTCAAATATGGAATGTCGAAAAAATGATCTAAGTTCATTCATAAATCTTTTAGATTTATAGCTTATATCTACTTCAGATGATCTTAATGATTCGCTCTCAAATAAGCAAATTTAATTTCCAATATAAAATTTTAGTTTTACAGTTGTAATTATTAAAATTGTACTTTGTTTCTTCAAATTTGACAGTCCACAACAAAATATATTAAAGAGGAACCAGTCAATGGCTGCAAGGATCTGCCAGTTTGCAGCTTATCGGATATTTCAGATCATGAAGCCTCCCTGGGTAAGTGTGAATCGTGAAATTTTATTTTTAATTTTATGTCACATCTAATGGGGGTTTTATTTATAATATGTATTTCGGTATGAATGTATCGCATTCTATAAAACTACGCAATAAGTTTTTATTTTAATCCACTCCACTCAAACAGTAGTTCGACATTTATTGGGATTCCCTAAAGAAACGAAAACTTCGGTTGTTTCCAGTGTACTCGAAAAGCCATGGTATTGTTATTAAACCGATTGCTATATGGGTTCCAGTCTTAAAGACACATTTGAAGATAAGAAATTTCTTAGAAATGGAAATAATTAAAGAGCAATATGTCGTGCGAATGTTTCATATTTTCTTATATATGATTGTACTCAGTTCTTGGGCGCTATCTTTGTATTCAGACATACGCACATAGATGTAGATATGTATATGTATTTATATATGGTATGGTGTATACATACATATACATATTAAAATATATATCACAAACACACACACACAGTCAAACACATGAAGAAATGCCATCATCAGTCATGTTCAGACTCTTTGGCTGTGGCCGATTTGTTTTTGCAATTTTGTTATTCGCATTTGCCTTTTGAGCGGAGCGATAAAAAATATACCAAATACAAATTATTCGCGATAAGATAAGCCGCAGACGCACTGGCACATATGAACAATTGTGATTGGACTGCTGAGAACAAAGCGTGTGTAAGAAACAGTTCGAATAGATGGTGCTCTATATGGTCTTATAAGTGTTTATAATAAGCACTGCGAAACCCAAAATGTGAATTCTTTACTTCGGCTTACAGTTTGAACTTGTATATACCCATTCATTGAATTTCATTTGCCTCTATAAAGAACATGTTTAATATTTGAAGAAAATTAATAAAATGGGATTCAATTCGTATTCTTTTTCCTTTCATAACTAGCTTTCGATTCCATCTTCAATACAGTATAAAAGTCTAAATTATATAATTCGGTTAGAGTTTCGTTTGAATTCCTTATAGATAAACTAGAAATAAAAGGAATTTAATAGTCTTAATTCCACCTCTTATCGGATAAAACTTTAATGAGAAATTAAAATAAATATATAATATGTTTCGCTTCGCTTCAATTTGATTCAGGTTTAGTTTCGGTTATTTCCCTTGTTTATGGTTCGGTTCGTGTTGTTGAAATAAATTTGTATATTGAGAATTTCAATCTTGATTTAAACATCACATGAACTATGCATTTATGTACATATGTATGCACACATACACATACATGCAGTTGGTTAATATTTTTTTGTGTAAAAAGTCACGTCGTTTATTTCCGGTGTCCATTCAGTGGCAGCAGCAGCAGGCACCGCGCCCCAAAATACGGGCAAAGTGCCAAGCGAACTTACAGATTCATTCATTCATTCATTCTTTCATTCACTCATTCGCCCCCAAGTCAAGTCATTCAATGTGAACACAAAAAAATGAAAAAGAAAACAGTCACACATACACACATTTGCATTTCAAATATATGAAATAAATATATCTTAAATGTGCACTCAGTGCTTGGCCCCCATCTCCACCTACGTTTCTAGCTCGCCCCCTCTGCTCATGCTCAGTGTTCTTTCTAGCTGTTGCTGCTGTCAATCAGGCAATGCGTCAGTCAGTCACTCACTCTCGCAAAATACCTTACGTATACGTTATGTGACAAAACGTCGTCGTCGTCGCCGTCGTTCGTTTGGCTCGCGTCTTCTATACGTTTTGTCCACTACYGTGCGACACACACACACACAGCTGCATTTGTATGTTTATGTTTTTGAATGTAGCTGACAGCTTAATGGTAATTTGTATGCATCTTCGCTGTGTGAATGCTGATGAAAATGTTTCGCTTGAGCCATAATTGTGGGAAGCTTCTCTAAAGAACAAAAGGGTCTCGAAATAGATTACATAACAACAATTGCTAACTCTATTAAACTCAATTAGTTTTCAGCTAATTCATGTGATAGTACGAGTACCTATTAATCAGTAAATTAACTCGAAAGAATGACGACTTTAAATAAGAATTCTACAAATGTTTGTAAAATTCATACAATAGTTTTTTTAACCTTTTCTTTTGTAAAACATTTCAAATGCTTTAGCATCGAATGTATCTTACAGATATTTTATGTATTTTTCTGTCTTTCATTCATAGCTAATTTAAACAATGCATTGGCAGCTGTTGAAGTGTCCGAATTTATTGTTGTATATAAAAACAAATCACAAAATGGGATATTTTAGTCTCCACACACACACACGCATACGCACACTCGTTCATACACATATAGTGAAACGTAGCGCCTTATCGCTGCGTCGAAATCAACAACAACAACAAAAGTAAAACCAAAACAATTTCAATGTCAACGCGACGCAAACGTACGACAAAAGTCAGTGGCCAACTATCCCCCACAGTTTGTTGTTTGGCCCAGCCCCAGCTCCAGCCCCAGCCGCAGCCCCTGTCTCAGTCCCTATCAGAGTCGGCAGGCCCAGAGAGCTCAGTGCTCGGCGCGAACGCATGAACTTATCTTTTGCCGCTAGAAGATCGGCCATAAAAATGGCAAAGAAATAAAGAAACATGCAAAACGGCGACAACTGCGCAGATGCTGGATACTCATTGAAAGGGAACAAAAATAATAATAAATAAAATAAAGGGGGACAAAGAACGGGGCACGTAAATTTAGTTTACAATATGCAAGCACATAAGAGCGAGAGATACGCACAGCAAAGACAGTGTATACATGTATACATATACAATGTGTATGTGCATATACATAAGTATATAGACATACACATACACGCATATACATATTTAAATGTATCCAGCCTGCCCTTATTTGAATTATATATGTATGGTTGTATGTATATGCAAAAGTGTGTACACTATATACAATGTTTTTAGCGCGCCTTTAATCAGCGCATATTAATCATAAACTTTGAAAATAACTGCAAAAGCCGCCACAATGCTAAAAAAATTTAAAAAAATGTAAAGCAAATATAATTTTTTTAATATGCTATCGTATGAAATTATTACATGCGCGCCTGTATTAGTGAGAGAAGAGAACAGAAACCGAAAAGCAGGCGCAGGCAGAGACCGCAGACCGCAGCAATGGCAGCAGCGAAGAGAGCCAACACTAACTACTTTCATTCATTTTCGGCGCTCAGCTCGCTACTCGTTTCATTCATTCATGCGCTCACCCAGTTGCTCTCGCGACTCTCTCTGGGCAACGTCAAAAAAGCAAAAATAAAACGAAGAGAAAAATACAAAAAAGCAAAAAAAGCAAACACGTTCGTTTTCATTCATACTTGCGGTGTGAGTAGAAAAGTTTCTGGTTCTGCCTGCCCATCGCTGTTGTTGTTGTTGTTGTTGCTGTTGCTCGCTCGATCGCCTCGCGGCGTTGAAATGCAGTTGATGAATGGGGAATAGCAACAGGCAACAGAAACAGAAACAGAAACATTGGCTCGCTTTAGCTTGATGGGGCTGGCTGGCTGATTTTTTGTTTTCAGGCTGGCCAACGTGGGGAACTTGAGTTGTTTTTGTTATTTTTGTTTCTTCATTGGACTTGCCTGCTTTGTGGAAGTTCTCTACTTTGCGCTCGTCAGCCCTCTTAGCATTTGTGTGTGTGCGTGTATTTGTGCACTCGCTGATGCTTGATGGTTGTTTCCTTCCTTTTTGCGTGTGCGGCCCCAAAGCAATATTCCTGCAAACCGGCTTCTTCTTTGCCTGCGTCTTCGGGCTGCGCTTTGGCTCTTTCCTCTGCTGCCTCAGTCGACGTCGCAGATGTGGGCGCGTCTCACAGCTCGGCTTGAAGTGCATGTGTGCATAGATGCGTGTGTGTGTGTGTGTAAGTGTGAGTGTGTTTGTCTCTTTTGACTGTATTTATTTTGATTTTAGCTGCGCCCCGCCGTCTCTGTTGCTCTTTATTTATTCATAATTGGAGTCGGACTCCCCAGCCGCCTAACGCACATTTGTGGACAGCTGCTGCTAAACCAGTTGCTGATGCTGGGGCTGGGGCTGGGGCTGTCTCTCGACACTTGCTCCGTGTTTTTGATTTAAGTTTTGTTTTAATTTAAGTTTTTACCTTTCAAATTTCATGTTCACAGATTTCTTGCTGTTGTCTTTTATTTGTTTTTTTGTTGCTTTTTTTTTTCGTGGAACTGCTGCGTTAACAACTTTTTGCCTCTTTTCGAGTTTACAATTTTTCATTCATTCATATAAATGTTTGTCGTTGCGCTTGCTACAAATTCATATGTATGTAGATCTGCGTGCCTGTGTGTGTGTGTGTGCCTTTGTTGTTTTTGCTTCAGTTGTATTTGGCTCGCCTGTTTTATATTTCGTTTGCACGTCACTTTTCACACACACACGCACACACATTCATGTGAGTATGTGTTGTTAAGTATATTTGCTTTTTTTTACGATTGTGTTTGCTTATTCATTCATAAGTTTTTGCTTAAGTTCTTTTTCGGTTACAATTATTAATTGCTCAGAAAATTATATTTATAGCGGTGTTAAATTTGATAAAAGTTTCAGTTAAAACATTTAACAATTGTAAATACTCTTTGCATATATACTTGCTAGCTGTACATATTTACATACATATATCTTCATGTATATACATATATTCACTTTCTACATACATACATAACTCGATATATTCATTTATAGATGTAGTAATAAATAATCCCAAATGTCTTTAATCACGTATTGTGGAAATTTATGAATTATAGAAATATAACTTCCTATCTAATCACGTACATTCATACATTCATTCATGAAATCATAAAAACAGTGGAATAAAACGTAGTTTTGTTCGAGTGCTTTAATTTCTTAAGTGTAAAGGGTTCAATTCGTTTGAGTTGCTTTGGAAACTTCGTTATAATACAAGCTTATTTAGAGAAAAATGTTCCATTGTTTGTAACTTTAACACTAGAATGTGATTCTGATTAATATTTCTTTATATTTTATTTAAATTTATTAAGAAACTAAGCATCGAAGTGTATTGAATC